ACCACATACTTCCAACTTACAATGCCACAGAATACACATTACCATTGCAGAAGCGAGGGAAGGGAGCATGGTGAGGAGATATTGGACCAAAGTGTGACAGTTATTCTTGGTTGTCAACTTGACTACATCTGGAATTAACTAAATCCAAGTGGCTAGGCACACCTGTGGGATTTTTTTCTTAATTAAATAATTTTAAGTTATTTTTATTGATTATTTGGGAATCTTACATCATTCAGCCTGATATGCTCACCTCCCAGTCTTCCATGTCTGCCCCTCCCTGTAACTTACCCCCATCAAGAGAAAAAAGTTCATTTTGTGTTGTCCATATATTCACTGGAGCATGGTTAGATTCCTAGTGGCCAGCCTCCAGAGTTCAGGGTTTGTCTGCACAAACTCCAGGCTGGTGTAAGCAGACCCTCCTGGGCAATGCCAGCAAGTAGATCTCAGGCCTCTCTCTCACCTGTCGCCGTCAGCAGGTCTCCAGTTCCGCCTCTCTCCATTAGCACACATGCCGCTCTGTTTTTCTCTTTCTCATCTCTCCATCACATATTTGTTCTTTGTAGTGTGCCGGCTGCTGCTGCCCAGGGCCACAAGGCCAGGGGCGGCACTTGGCTGTCTCTTCCACCACCACTGCCCTGGCCTCATGGCTGGGGCCCTTAATTAAATAATTTGAAGTGAGAAGACCCTCTTTACTCTGGGTCTTTTGAGGTGGGAAGAACCATCATTAATCTGGCCCACATCTGCTGGCAGGACATGTAAAAACATAGAAGAAGGAAACTTGCTCTCTTTTCCTGCTTGTCCTCAGTCTCTCTGGCAAGTCCATCTCTCCACCGTGTTAGACCATACTTCTTTGGGATTCTGACATATACTGAAGACCAGCTGGACATCCAGCCTTGTGGACTGGATTCTTGGACCTTCCATTGGTAGACAGCCATTGTTGGACTAGTTAGACAATAGCCTGTGAGCCATTCCATAAATGGCTATTCTCTCTCTCTCTCTCTCTCTCTCTCTCTCTCTCTCTCTCTCTCTCTCGATATTGTATCACCCAATATATTGTATACCCCAATAAACTTATCTGGGGGTCAGAGAACAGAACGACCACTATATTAAACATAGAAGTTAGGCAGTGGTAGCACACGCCTTTAATCCTAGCATTCCGGAGGCAGAGATCCATCTGGATCTCTGTGAGTTCAAAGCCACACTGGAAACAGCCAGGCATGGTGATACATGCCATCCCAGGAAGTGATTGCAGAAAGCAGAAAGCTATATAAGGTGTAAGGACCAAGAACTAGAGGCTTTTTAAGCTTTTAGGTTTTTAGCATCAGTTCAACTGAGATCCATTCCAATGAGGACACAGAGGCTTCCAGTCTGAGAAAACAAGACCAGCTGAGGAATTGGCAAGGTGAGGTTGGCTGTGGCTTGTTCTGTTTCTCTGATCTTTCAGCATTCACCCCAATATCTGGCTCCCTGGTTTTTTATTTAATGAGACCTTTTAAAATTCATGTTACCCCCCCCCTCTCTCTCTCTCTCTCTCTCTCTCTCTCTCTCTCTCTCTCTCTGTGTGTGTGTGTGTGTGTGTGTGTGTGTGTGTGTGTGTGTGTGTGTGACATACTGATGTCCCTCAGGGTCCACAAATAGCTGCTGCTAACCTAGAACCAGACTACAGGCTAAACAGGCTCTTAGAGGGGAACTAGAAAGTATAGTCCATAAGTAAGTGCACTACACTACTAAAGAGCTTAATGAGTTTGCTAATGCATTCAAGCAGAAGTCTGGGGAATACGTGTGGGAATGGATTTTAAGGGGGTGGAATAATGGTGGAAGGAACATAAAACTGGATCAAGCCGAGTTTATTGATATGGACCCTCTGAGCAGAGATTCTAGCTTTAATATGGAAGCTCACACAGAAAAAAGTGTATCAAAAATTTGTGTGAATGGCTGGTTGAAGCATTTATCAAAAGATGGCCTACTGAAAAGGAGTTGGAGATGCCTGATATCCCTTGGCATATCAGGGATATGATGAAGGGATTTTAAGGCTCAGGGAGATTCCAATGCTAAGGTAGGTGTGCTGTGTAAAACCTAATCCTCTACAGTGGGGAGGCCCAGAAGACGCGCCCTTACCAATCTTGTAAGACACAGAACGGTGAGAGGGCATCAGCACATTGAGGAGCTTTGTTGTCACCCTTTTCCTTGTGTCAGACCTTAGGGTTGGAGATGCTGCTGATCAGTAGCATGAATTAAATGCAATAAGATTAATTGGGCCCCAAAGTAGCAGGGGCCAGGTGGCAGCCTGCAACCCTGAACCCCAAGGCACGGTGATGACTGTTACTGTAATATGAAGTGCAGGCGAAGTGGGTTTCGTGGAGCGTGTCTTGTATGGACCTTTGGAACTGGCCAATCAATCACAGTGTTTCCAGGCTTGAAATAGAGAAGAAGCCCACCGAATTTTTGTTTGACCTGTATAAGCAGAAAAATTCTCAAACAAATGAAAAAAAAAAACTAAATTAGACTTGGCAAAAGAGAATTTCGGCCTGTGAACCAATTTCCAGATTTGAGCCAGCTTGTAGACCCAGAACACCTTGAGTGAAGGGACAGCCCAGTTCCCCTGACAGAAGACTTGATAAAATACCTAAGAGTTTTGTTATTAGCTTTTCCCCAATCCTTCCCCAGAGGGACCAGCAGCCTTTTACAAGGATAACTGGGAGAAAGGAAACAATCAGGCTTTTCAAGTCTATTAGATATTGGTTCTAAATAGATACTAATTCGGGGAGACCCAAAGAAACATGTGGCCCTCCCGCTAAATTAGGGGCTAATGGATGTCAGGTGATTAATGGAGATTTGTCTGAAGTCTGACTTATAGTGGGTACAGTGGGTCCTCATCCTGTGGTTATTTTCCCAGTCCCAGAATGTGTGTGTGTATATATATATATTTAGAAGTTGACAGAATTCCCACATTGGTCCTGTGACCTGTGGAGTGAGGGCTGTTATGGTTGGAAAGACTAAATGGAAGCCTTTAGAGTTGCCTCCACCAGGGAAAATAGTGAATCAAAAGCAGTATTGCATCCCTGGATGAACTATAAAAATTAGTGTGAGGTGGTGGTTCCTACCACAATGCTCCTATCTGGCCAGTGCAGAAGACAGATGGATCATGGAGAATGATAGCTAACTATCAAAACTCAATCAAGAAGTGACTCCAGTTGTAGCTGTTGTACCAGATGTGGTGTCCTTACTTGAGCAGATGAACACATCTCCTGGTACATGGTATGCAGCTATTGATCTAGAAAATGCCTTTATCTTGGTACCTGACCATAAAGTTCACAAGAAGAAATTTGCTTTCAGATGGCAAGGCCAGCAGTATACCTTTAGCATTTTACCTCAAGGATATATTAACTCTCTAGCCCCATGTCATATCTTAGAGGGATCTTGATTGCCTCTTCCACAAAATATCACACTGGTTCACTGTATTGACAACATTATACTGTATGGACCAAGTGAGCAGGAGGTAGCAACCACTTTGGATTTGTAACACGTATGCACATCAGAGGATAGGGAAAAAAATCAACCAAAATATGAGGGCCTTCCACCTCGGGGAAATTCTTAGGAGTCCTGGTGTGGGGCACGCAGGGATTCCTTCTAAGGTGAAGGATAAGTTATTGCACCTGGCCTCTCCCACCACCAAGAAAGCAGCCCGATGTCTAGTGGGTCTGTTTGGATTCTGAAGACAGCACACTCCTCACTTGGGTGTGTCACTCCGGCCCATAGACCAAGTGACTCGGAAAGCTGCTAGTTTGTGTGCGGGCTGGAAGAGGAGGAGGAGGATCTTCCACAGTCCCGGCTGCTGTGCTGCTGTGGGGCTGGAAGAGGAGGAGGCTCTTCCACAGTCCCGGCTGCCGTGGGGCTGGAAGAGGAGGAGGCTTTTCCACAGTCCCGGCTGCCGTGGGGCTGGAAGAGGAGGAGGTTCTTCCACAGTCCCGGCTGCCGTGGGGCTGAAGAGGAGGAGGCTCTTCCACAGTCCCGGCTGCTGTGCCGGCTGCTCTACCACTTGGACCATGTGACCCAGCAGATCTGATGGTACTTGAGGCGTCAGTGGCAGATAGGGATGCTGCTTGGAGCCTTTGGCAGGCCCTGGTGGGTGAATCACAGAAGAGACTTCCAGGATTTTCCCCCTCAGAAAATTATTCTCCCTTTGAGAGAGAGCTCCTGGCCTGCTATTGGCCCTTAGTGGAATCTGAACATTTGACAATGGGCCACCACGTTACCATGTGACCTGAGCTGCCCATCATGAGCTGGGTGTTATCTGACCCACCAAGTCATAAAATAGGATGTGCACAGCAGCAATCCATTACCAAATGGAAGTGGTATATATGTGATTGTGCACAAGCAAGGCCTGAAGGCACAGGGAAGTTACACGGAGACATTGCCCCAAAGCCTATGGTTTCTACTCCTGTTGCGGTACCTTCTGCTCCCAGGCTCATGGGGTGTGCCCTATGATAGATTGATGGAGAAAGAAGACTGGACCTGCTTTACTGATGGTTCTGTATTCTATGCATGCACCACTCAGAAGTGGACAGCTGCAGCATTACAGCCCCTTCCTGGGACAACCTTGAAAGATGCCGGCTGAGGGAAATCCTCACAATGGGAAGAACTTTGGGTGGTACACATGTTTATATATTTTTCTTGGAAGGAGAAATGGCCAGATGTGTGATTGTTCACTGATTCATGGGCTGTAATCAATGGGTTGGTTAGGTGGTCAGGGACTTGGAAAGAACATGACTAGAAATTGGTAAGAAAGACATCTGAGGAAGAAGTATATGGATGGATCTCTTTGAATGAGCAAAGGATATGAAGATACTGTGCCCCATATCAATTCTCATCAAAAGGTGACTTCAGCTGAGGAAGAGCTTAATAATTGGTAGATAGCATGACCCATTCTGTGAACAGTCAGTCTCTTTCCCCAGCCATCCCTGTCATTGCCCAGTGGGCCCATGAACAACGTGGCCATGGTGGCAGAGATGGAGCTTGTGCATGGGCTTGACAACATGGACTTCCACTCTCCAGGTGACCTGCCTACAACTGTTGCTGAGTGCCAGATCTGCCGACAGCAGGGACCAACACAAAGCCCCAGATAGGGCACCATTCCCCACGATGACCATTGGCAGCAGCATGGAGGGCTGGGCAGGGCTCTCCAGAAGGCAGTGTATGCTTTCAATCAGTGTCCCATATGTGGTAAGGTTTCTCCCTTAGCCAGGAATCAAGGGGTGGAAAGGGGAATGGTTCTACTCATTATCACCCCTAGTGACCCACTAGGGAAGTTTTCGCTTCCTATTCCCACAACCCTAAGTTCTGCTGGCCTAGAAGTTTTGGTTCCAGAGAGGGGAGCACTGTTGCCAGGACAACAACACAGCAAACATTCTGCTGAACTGGAAGCTCAGACTTCCCCCTGGTCACTCTGGACTTCTAATGCCCTTAAACCAACAGGCTAAGATAAAAGAATAAGAGTGTAGGAGGGGTGATTGGCCCAGATTATCAAGAGGAAATTGGATTGCTTCTCCACAGTGGAGGTAACTAAGATTATCTCTAGAGTGCAGAGATCCTTTAGGACAGTGGTTCTCAACCTTCCTAAGGCTGTGACATGTAGCATGAATCTTAAAAAGTTCTTATTAATAAAATCAAACCTGAGCCAGGTATTGGGGTGAACTGGAAGACCAGAGAACCAGAACAAGCCACAGCTACCTCACCTCGCCAGATCCCCAGCTGGTCCTGTTTCCTCAGACTGGAGGCCTCTGAGTCCTCATCCAGAATGGATCTCAGCTGAGCTGCTGCTAGAAGCCTGAAAATTTAACCAGTCAAATGCTTAACCAGGCCAAATGCTTCTAGTTCCTGGTCTTCATGCCTTATATACCTTTCTGCTTTCTTTTTTTTTTTTTTCTTTTTTTTTTAAAGCATATGTCTGAGAAGTACTGCACTGTGGGTGATGGTCTCTGAACACAGTGCTTGGTCAGTGAGCTTCGGAATTCTCCAGTCCAGAGTCTCTGACTCCACCAAAGTACAAAGTCACAGGACTGGAAAGTCAAAGGGCTCAGTATAAAAATCATTCGGAGTGAAAGTCCCAAATATTAGAAAATTTTCAAGATGTAAGAAATGCTTTTAATTGGTATTAATATGTTCTCATGCAGTATATTTACTGCAATCTGAAAACTGTAAATATAGACTGTAAGAATTCAATGGAAACAATCCTGAAGAATGAAAATTACTATCTAAATTAGTCACAGAGTTTCCTTTCCACATAACAGCACCTGTTCAAGTGAACAGCACCTTACCAGCCTGGGCTGGCTTTGTTCACTGTCATTTGAGCAAATGAGTCATAGAAAGCAGTAGGAAAGGGAAACAAATATAAAACGCTTAACAAAAAAACAAAGAATTAAAAAAAGACAGAAGGAAAGAAAGAAAGAAAAGAGGAAGCAAGAGTATTTAGAAGTGGTTATAAAATAAAGAACGTATTAGAAATGCATGGGAATAGTATGGACCAGAGCTGTTAAGGTAAGGTTTGGTGTTGGCATTTTAATTCTACAGGCTTCTGGTCATTGTTACCAGTTGTAGCACAAATTTGCTGGAGTAGTGGTGTGGCGTTAACACTTGGAATGATCAAAGTTCTTCTGGTTCATGAAGTTGAATGTTGCTTAAAAAATGATTTTCTTATTCTTCTCCTTCCTCCTCCAACTCTGTTTCTTTGTGCACCACCACCCTTGTGACCGACATATCAGGGTGCTGCTCTCTGGCTTCCCTAATCGCCTGAGCCAGCGCCTGATCGTGATCAAGAGCGGCATCTCCTGTGATCACAATGTGTTTCTCGGTTCTTGTTTCAGATATTCCACCCTTTACAGTCTTGGTGATGTGTGTGGTTGTCGTTGTTGACACGGACTCAGATGTGATGGTTTGTGCGGTCAGTAATGTGCCCGAATCACCACCAGCCCCGCCATCAATCTGTGGAGACTCATATGTGATGGTTTTGGTCTCAGTTTGAACAATGGGGACTTCCTTGGTGGAGATTTCTGTCCTTTGTGAGGCATCAGAAATTGTTCCCATCTCTGTTTTTACCACTGGTGACTCTGAACAACAAATAATCTCTGGTAAAACATCAATGTCAACATGGGGCACCTCTCCGTTAACTCTGTGTTGCTCTTCCTCTGTTTCTTCTCTCATGTCTTGCTTAACAGTGCCTCCGTGTGCACTCTTCTCTCCGGGTAGCTTTTGGGCACCTACATGTTCCTGGGCCTCTGTGTCTACTGGGAGGAGCCTGGCCTCTGCGTGCCTGTCTGGGATGGCTTCAGGCACTGCTGCCTCCCTCTCTACTACCTTGGCTGCTTGGCCGGCCTCCTGCTCCAGCTCTTCATCATTCTCCTCCTGCTCTTCCCTTATGGTGCCCTCGGTCACTCGGTGGTGGGGCTGGTACTCTCCCACGTCTTCCTCCTCAGTCTCACTGCTGCTGCTGCTCTCAGAAGACAGGGAGGTGGAGTCTTTTTGTGTCATGGGCTCCACCTTACGAATCTCCCCAGGACCACTCCCAGCTGATAGCTCTTTACCATTCATTTCTTCTGTGATTACTCTTTCGTCTTTCCCAACCTCTGCCCGCTTCTTCTCCTCCTCTACATTCAGAGTCTCATGTGAACTCTTTCCTTCAGCGAGCAGGGGTGTGGCTTTTGTGGGGCTTCTGGCATCCCTCCGGCTATCCCCATCCTGAATGGTGGTGTAGCTGGCAGCTCCAGGGCCAAGTGCTGAACCCTCTCCCGGAGGGCCAGGAAAATCCTTCAGAAAACTTTGGTCCACAACATCAATCAGAGCATCATCTAGGCTCCTTGAGACACGTTTACTAGAGGCACGCTCAAAGTGTGGTGCTGGCCTATCTATGAGGGTGCTTGCTTGGCGGGTCTGTGCCTGGGTACGTCCATTGTAGCGGAATTTGGACCCCAAGGTCAAGAACTTGGCCTTTGGTGGCTGACCTTTCTGCTTTCTATCATCACTCCCTGGGATTAAAGGCTGGCTTTCTGGGATTAAAGGTGTGTGTCACCATGCCTGGCAGTTTCCAATGTGGCCTTGAACTCACAGAGATCCAGAGGGATTTCTACCTCTGGAGTGCTAGGATTAAAAGTGTGTGCCGCCATTTTCTAGCCTTTGTATCTAGTGGCTGTTCTGTCTCTGACCCCAGATAAGTTTATTAGGGTGCACAATATTTTGGGGAACACAATACCACCACAGTGACCCTTTAATATAGTTCCTCACATTGGCATGACCCCCAACCATAAGATTGTTTCACTACTATTTCATAACTATAATTTTGCTACTGATATGAATCATAATGTAAACATCTGATATGCAGGATATCTGATATGCAACCCCCTGTGAAAGGGTCATTCAACCCCCCAAAGGGGTCACAACCCATGGGTTGAGAATGGGCATCTCCTGGTGCTCCCATGTCCTGTGACTGAAGTCAATGGGGAACTACAACAGCCTCTCCAGGCAGGACGACAGAGACCCTTCAGGAGTGAAGGTGTGGGTCACTCCAGGAAGAGAGTCTTGCTGAGAGTGGAAGAAATACAGAATTGGTAGTACAGGAAGGTAACTATAAATACCAGCTAAGGCCTCGTGACCAGTTGCAGAAACAAAGACTTAATTGACATGGGTGTTTCTGTCATATTTTGTTAAGAATATATTTGTAGAGAGAATTGTGTTTTCTTGATTTCTTTATCATATAATATCATATAATCAAGAGAATGTCAGTGGTTATCATATTTAAGTTTGATATACTAAAAGAATATCCCTCAAGGAACATTGCCACATCTTCTAAAACTTATAATGCATTTACAATTGTACGAGGGGTAGTTAAATCATGCTAGGTATAATTATGACCTGATTAATATATAATGTGTTTGTAATTGTACATAGATAATTATATCATGTTAGGCATAATAATGATCTCATTATTGTTGTCATTGGGAAATTAGTCACAACATAAGGAGCTATGATTGTGTGTCAGGTTGACAAGGGGTGTACTTCTGATGGATATTCTTGTGATGGGTTCTTGGTTGTCAATTTGACTACTTCTGAAATTAACTAAAACCAAGTGGCTGGGTTCACCTGTGAGGGATTTTTTTTTCTTAAATTATTTGAAGTGGGAAGACCCACTTTTAATCTGGATCTTTTGAGATGGGAAAATCCACCTCGATCTGACCTACATCTTCTGCTGGCAACGTATGAAAAGACAGAATACAGAAGCTTATAATTCGATCCCATCACTAACATTAGAGCCTACTTCTTTGGGATTCTGGTGCAGACTAAAGACCAAGTGAGACATCCAGCCTCATGGACTGACCAACTACTGGATTCTTGGACCTTCTGTTTGTAGACAGTCATTGTTGGACTAGTTGGCCACAGCCTGTGAGCCATTCTAGTAACATTCTAGTAAATTGTCCCTCTCTGTCTCCCTCTCCCCTCCTGCTCTCCCTCTTTCCCTCTCGGTTTTGTGTGTGTGTGTGTGTGTGTGCATATGTAAATTATATATACATATATTATTTTTTCTATAAGTTCTATTCCTCTATAGAACCCTGACTAATACACAAAGTAAAACAAGACCAAAACCCAGCAGGGAAGACTCAAGTTAGGTCATAAAGAATATACGTACTGAGTGAGTCCCTGTTCTGTTGCTGTGAAGAGACTCCATGAGCAAAGCAACACTGATCCTGGAAGACAATACTCAGCACCACCAGTCTTTTGGTTTCGAGACAGGGTTTCTCTGTGTAGCCCAGGCTGTCCTGGATCTCACTCTGTAGCCCAGGCTGGCCTTGAACTCACAGAGATCCAACTGCTTCTGCCTCCTGAGTGCTGGGATTAAAGGTGTGCACTACACACCTGGCATGATGTCTTAATATGTGTATACATTGTGTAAGGTTCAAGTCAGGGTAACTATATCGCAAGCATCTACTGTTCTTCATGTTTAATATATGCAGAAGGCTCCTTTTCTGTCTTTTTGAGATGTATAGCACAATTTGTTCCCTCTAGCCACACTCTTAGGAGTGTGCCCTTTACCTGACCCCTGTGGCTTAGTATCCATACCTCCCATCCAATATCTCAGTATTTAATTTACCAAGCTGTGATTACCAATTACGCTGAATCATTTTGTACTCTTCTTTCACCCCACTTAATTTTTTTAGGTCTGCTCATGTTCTTTGCCCTCTTTTCTTATTTGTAAGTGGACTTTATGTAGTAAAAATAATTTTTCCTTTCCCCAATGCATTTGTTACCACTATTGTTCTCATTTTAAGTTTCCTGGTTCTTATTGTTTTAATTACATTTTTATTTATTTGAGAAAAGTGTCACAATGTGCATGTGGAGATCAGAGGACAATTTCCAGGAATTGGTTCTTTCCTTCTACCATGTGGGACTTGGGATCAAATTCAAGTTGCTGAACCATCTCATTGGCTCAATGTTTAGTGTCTTTAAATATTTTGACGGTGAGGCCTGAAGAGATGGCTCAGCAGTTAAGAGCACTTGCTGATCTTTCAGAGGACCTGGGTTCAGTTCTAGCACCCACATGGTGGTTCATCTGTAACTCCAGTCCCAGGGTTTCTGACACTCTATGACCTCTGCAGGCACCAGGCATGCACGTGGTCCACTTAAATACATGCAAGCAAAACACCCACACACATAAATAAATCGAATGGTTTTAACATATTGAGCTTTGAAATTATTTTTACTATATTGACCTTTTCCATTTGTTAACATACTATGTACTCCTAGTCACCACTGTTGTAGAACTATCTTTCTATCTCTAGCTAGTTTGTTTTATTGTTTTTCTTTTTTTTTAAAGATTTATTTATTTGTTAATATATACAGTGTTTTGTCTGCCTGTATGTCTGCAGGTCAGAAGAGGGCACCAGATCTCACTACAGGTGGTTGTGAGCCACCCATGGGGTTGCTGGGACTTGAACTCAGGACCTCTGGAAGGGCAGTCAGTGCTCTTAACCTCCGAGCCATCTCTCCAGTCCCTGTTTTATTGTTTTTCTAACAAGTGGAACTCACTTTTTATTTGTGGATTTAATTTTAAACATCTCTTCTTAGAATATCCATCTTCACCTTCAGGGTATCCCTTGTACTATCCCTGCCTGCTAAACCCTTAGCCACTTACATACAGCAAACTCTAACTTCCAGTCTCCACCTTGTTCCCATCCAGCCAAAGAGTTGAGGTAGGAAGTGGAAAACCAGTCTGTACTTTATAACAAAACAAAACAAAACTGTATCAGGGTCCTGTGCTGTTGTTTCCTTTCGGGGAGAGGGCCAAGTAGGCGCAGAGTCAATGACACGGACTCTGGGAGAATGTTGAAACAACAAGCTCAGTTTATTCAGGAAGAGGCAAGCCTTATACACCCTCCACCCCACCCTGGGGGGAGGTCTGATGAATATTCATCTGCTGGTGTGACATGGCTGCCTCTCATTGGCTCAGGTCATCTCCAGATCATGACTCAGCTGCCCTTAGGCAGACCCAGGTTGGCTCTCAGAAAGCTGTTAGGGATGAATTATCCCACACAAAACAAAAGCCTTCCAATTGTGAGTCTCTATATTAATCACCACGTACTGAAGGAAGAGGCTTCCCTGATGAGAGCAGAAGAATGCTCTAATCCTTGGGTCAGTAGTAGTCATTAGGAGTTAGTGTAATGCTATGTCCCTTTAGCAGAGTAATACTAGTAGTTTCTCCCCTATGGCCTGTGACCTACCTAGCCTCGAGTTCTTGGCCCTGTTAACAGTGCCAGGTTTGAATTCTGTCTTATGGAACAGGCCTCAAATCCAGTCAGAAAGTGGTTGGTTCCTGCCATCACATTTGTGCCATGATTGCACCACTGGGAATATTTTGCCAGGACATTTTGTTGGTATAGCCAGCATGGTTAGCAGTTGGGTAAGACTAATGAAAACTTTTCTCCCTGTAATGTGCACAGTAACTTGCAGCTAGCTGTAAAGCTATCAAGTAGGGAGGAAGCTTCCAGGTCAGTACCAGCTTGATTTCCATCATCACATATTACTTATCTGGGAGGAAAGATTAAAACACACACACACACACACACACACTTGCTTGGATCACTTTCCTGAGCTTCAAAATTATGTGTCAATGACCCCCTGCATTGCCACCCGTGAGGCCAGCTGCTTGACTGTCACACGCTTCCTCAGCCCACTGGGTGGTCTGTCCTGGTAAAGGGTTGCACTTTCTATCTAGTGGTTCAATTGGGAAATATAAAATTATTCAACTCTTTGCATCTTTTTCTCCTCTGACCCATGTTACACCAATTCCAGCTCCCTGTGTTTTCAAGTTCACCTTTGATTTAATATTTGTTGTTCGTTCTTCGTCATTTCTCTCGTGAATCACCGCATGGTCTCCTGGCTGGTCCCTGTTTCATCCCGCTACTTTCAATACACTCTGTATGCAGATTCCAGAAGACCTCCTGACCGATTTGATTGGTCACTCACTCCTGATGGAAAGTGCTGGGAGGCTATATTGCAAATAATGTGGTAATGCAGGAGCTCGTCCTTGCTGTCCTCTCCAACCTTATTCCTAGCCTGTCACTTCAGAGAACGTGCCGGTTTAAGAAGCCAATTCTAGAAAAGCCTTAGGGGATGCTGCGTGAGTGGTTCTCTTAAACTTCTGAACCCATAAGCCTCTAGAGCTCGTGTCTTTATGACTGGCTAAGTCTAGATCTTGGATCCAAAGACTTCTTCCTCTGACAAAACTCTTGCTAGTTTGCCTGCCTCAACCTCCCTCCCTGCAGCGTTGTGTGTGCTTGAATACCGGGGCCCGGCGCAGGCAGTAGAGCAACCATGAAGAACCGGAGAAAGATCTGTGGAAATTCTGATATGGACCAGGCAGACATGTTAACAGACTGCCGTCTTCAGGCCAGCGTTTATGATGACTGCCAGTGGCCGGACTTAAATGGAGATAAGAGTCCGTGTCTGAAGGGCCAGGCCATAACTAGGCAAATAGTGAATTTGGATCCACAAATTGAGTCAAGGACTAAATAGAAAGAAACTAGATCAATTTAGGAAGTGATCTCCTATGCCAATGCGTTCAAGACTACTTCCTACTTTCTCTTCTAGCAAGTTCAGAGCTAGCTGGATTTATGTTGAGGTCCTTGATCCACTTGGACTTAAGTTTTGTGCATGGTGACAGATATGGATCTATTTGCAGCCTTCTACACGTTGATATCCAGTTATGCCAGC